TTGCGTTTGGGAGGTTTGCTGCTGCCCAGAGGAGCTTCTCGGAGCCGTGCAGGCTCTTCGGGTGTTGGGTGCGTTGCGCGAGCGGGTAGCCGTGGAGGCTGATTGTGCCGTTTGGCTTGACCAGCAGGGAGCCACATAGCTTGTGGTCCGCTGGAGCAACTCCTTGCAGCCGGATTGCTCCACATCCTTCTTCTCCGGGCGGGCGTAGAGCCCAACACCGGACCAGAAACGTATTTCTGCTGTGTTTGCCAGAATCGACTCCATCCAAACTCCACTTCGGTTAGGTGCAACGCAACGTAGAACCGGCTGTCTTGGGAATGTACAGTAGATATATCTGCATCCCCAGTTTCACGTTTACGTGACTTATGGTACCGAAGTTATAGCTGATTAAAAATTCCACGCCTTTGGGATGTGCCACGCCCGCTTTTACAGACTCATTTATATACAGGGAACGGATTTTATGGAAATTGCCTTTTTTTCTGCTAAAGAGATAGAGTATATTCGATTAAGAATGTCCACGATTTAGCTTTCCCTGATTCCCTATATACACATTCGAAGTTGCTTTTTTTTGCCTTTTTTAAGATATTTGCCTTTTTTTGCCTTTTCTACCCTTTAAAAAAGTGATTATAGCATTTACATTTTTTTTTTTAAGATTAAAAAATATACACATGCGGCTTATAGAAGCACAGGGAGCTCTTGCCAAATTGGTGTTGAAAAAATTCAAAGCCGTTTTCCCAGCTAACGTAGGCTTGAAGGCTATGAGGGGTGTGGATAAAATTGTAAAGGGCGAGGAAAACGCCCTTATTTCTGATAATATGAACGTTTCAAACGTTCCATATTTAAATTGGGCTCCACTTGTATCAACTTACGTCGAGCGCACATTTAGTACATTCAAGGCTTTTCTTCGCGAAAATCGAATGAAAATGCTGCCAGAAAACTTCAAAATGCATCTTGTGGTTCAATGTTACTACAACTATACAGATTAAAGTTTTATGAGTTAGAAACTCGAAAGGATAAAATAGTCAATGATTCAAAGTACAAATTTTTCATATAATGAAACTACTTCATAGTTTTTCTCTTTTTACTTGTAACATAAGCATTTCTAAAATAAATATATTTTTTGATTGTTCTTCGTATTTTCTGTCTTTTTTAGTGCCTTATTTTGCTTGTTTTTGCAATACCTTTTTTTTTTTTGCCTTTTCCTGCCTATTCGCTATTTTGTTTTGCCTTTTTTTGCCTTTTTTGCAATACCTAGTGCCTTTTCCTGCCTTTTTCGCTATTTTATTTTGCCTTTTGCAGCCTATTTCGTTACTTTATTTTGCCTTTTTTATAAGTTTTTAGGTCCTAAAAATCCGTTCCCTGTTTATATATATACCTTACTAAAAGCACCTACCATAGATATATCTGCATACCAAATGTCAAGTTCATGTGACTTACGGTTCCGAAGTTACAGCTGACTAATTATTTTACGCCTACGGGAGGTGCCACACCCCTTTTCCAATTCCGCCCATTTTTTCTATGAGTATGGAATTCATTTCATTTGTCTCGACACCAAGTTCCAGTACTCTACCACAAATATTTTAAGAGATATACAACATGAAAATTTTAGTTAGTATGGGAGGTGCCACGCCCCCTTTTCCAGTACTGTCGATTTTTCTCTATGCCTATAACCCTCCCGGGATAAAAACAAATAAGTGTGCAAAGTTTCGTGCGATTCCGTGTTGCGGTTGAAAAGTTATAAGGTAATAAACAAACAGACATTCACATTTATATATACAGATTATCAAAATCACCCTCTACTAACTAAATTTTTACATATTTCGTCTGTTTTCCCTTAATTTGATAAAATACTTCTTCCTAATTACGACTTAGTTGCAGCTGCAGCCGAAACTAAATTTTAAGTTGGTACTTAGCCAGAAAAGTCGAAACTAAGGCGACTATGAATAGCTTTAGTTGTGACTTAGAATAGTTTCGACTTAGTTGAGTACTAAATATGACTATGAATATGTGCCAAAGAAACGTTTCTGGCGACATACAAGGCAATAGGCCGGCCGGTTTTAAATTACGCAGCACCAGTGTGGTCGCCGGGGACTAGTAGGACGCAGTGGATGAAGCTACAGACGACTTAGGACAGCCACTGGATGACTTCTGATGTCGCCAGAACACCACCTGCATGACGAGGCGAAAATGCTCCCAGTCAAGGAGCATAACATAATGCACTGAAAGCAGTTTCTGGTTGGGAGCCACAGACGTGGCCACCCAAACAGACAGCTGCTTGCAGAGGAGCCCTCGCCTAGGCACGTCAGGAGGCATCTCTACGAACTGACGGACGAAGTCCAGAGGTTAATTAAGCAACCTCTGGACCCGTCAGCATACCGACAGGCCCTGAACGGCATTCACAGGGAGTCAGTCTCGAGTTATGTAGACTCCAGACCTGTGAATGCCGTTCTAGGCACACAACCACCGGACATTGACGAGATTGGGCTTCATCTGCCTCGGGAGACAAGCACCACAATAGCCCAACTTCGCTCTGGCTACTACAGCAGGTTAAACTCATACCTGAGCAGATTAGACGCAGATTTGCCTAATGAGTGACCGGCATGCCGAGACATCCCACGACTTGAAACTTCTCTTCGTATGCCCGGAAAACCCGACAACCCTAAC